TCCAGCCATGGCCAGGTCAGAGGGATGTGGCTGCATCCCCTTCATTTTAAACCATGGAGGGGCCAGCCCAGACCCTGGGGTTCGATGTCCTCAAGCCCAGTGTGCCACCTGCTCCCATTTCCCCCGTTTTTTCCCCCAGAATCATGGCCCTCGCCGCCGCCCTCCGCCTGTCGCTCGCCTGCCTCCTGCTCTGCAGCGCGGCCCCAAAACCCACGTGTGACCCCAGCGCCTGCTCCCCGTGCCCCGAGGAGGAGCCGGAGGGCACRGCCACCCCCAGCGCCGGTGGCTGCTGTCCCCCGTGTCCCCCGCCCTGCTCCTGCCCGCCCTACCTGCAGAGCGACTGCGACATGCAGGGCTTCTCCAGCGGCCGCGTCCCCGCCGGCCGCTCCTTCTACATCGACTTCGCCCGCAAGCTGTGCACCTGCCAGCCGGGAGGGGACATCACCTGCGCCCCGCTGTGTCCCCGCCTGGCCCCCGCCTGCCGCGCCGTGGGCAGCCCGGTGGCCGATGGCTGTCCCCGCTGCGTCTGCTACGACGAGGAGGAGATGGCGGTGCCCGCGGGCACTGTCACCACCCGGGGCTCCCAAATCTGTACCTGCCCTGCCCACGGGGGACAGCTGCAGTGCAGAGCCGGCCAGGGCCACGAGTGAAGCTCTCCTTTTGCCCTGGGGCATCCTCGCTGAGACACCTGAGAGTGTCCTGGAGGACTTGGGGACTGTCACCGAGCGCTGGGGCGGTGCCATGTCCTCTGTCATTTGTAGAGTGTCTGCTTGCTTGGTTGTGAGGTTTGTGCCACAGGGCTTGGGCTGGTGCTGCTAGCATGTAACTGGAGAGAACACAGCTATTTATTTATTTGGAAGATGATTCTGCTTTCGTGTGTGTTTGTGTTTATATGGGCTGTTTACATTAAACTTGCTGGATAAAGCTTCCTCCCAGGAGCCAGGCTTTTGCTTCCTGTAATCCCATAGGGTTCCAAGTGGTGGGACCAGGATCAGGAGGTTGGCTGACACCCTCTCTCCCATCTTTTTCTGAGGTGGGAGAAGTTGGGCTGGCACAGGGCTGTGTTTTTAGGGGCAAACCCCTCTGATGTCTCCATGCTCCGGAGCAAAGCCTTGACCACTCACGTGAGGATGTTGGCAGTCAAGGCTCAGCCCTTCACAGCCACTGATGACCCCAAGGCTGACCCCACTGTCARTCCCAGCTGTGCCCCAGCTCAGCAGGAATGCCCCAAAATGTGTCAGTGGCTGTGTCCCCTGGAGACAGACATGGGACACAGGATCTTCTGACAGCTTTGACATATTTAAATACACACATACACACATATATAAATGTATCTATGTATAAAAACCACAGCTTCATCAGGCTGAGCTATTAACCCATGTTAATTGTTAAACGATTGAATAAAATCAGTGTTACCAATAAACTTSTGAAGATTTTACTGATAAGGACACAGATACTTTCCTGCTGTGTTAGCTGCTGGTACCTGGGCCACAYAAGGCTATCTCCAACCACCTTGGTTCCAGGTGTACCTTGACATTTTAAATGTGTCCCCTGGATTGTTTTATTTTTCTTCTCTCCTGCTCTGTCTGATGCTGTTTGACTACAAAAACAAAAATAAAAACCAAACAGTGAGCAGATGGGATTCAGKTGGAGGGTCAGGAAAAGGTTGGAGGAAGCAGGTGAATTTGCCTTTCGGGGCGCAGGAAGGATCTCCATGATTTGGGGAATGGACCTTAAGGATCATCCAGTTCCAACGCCCTGCCATAAGCAGGGACACCTTCTGCTATCCCAGGGTGCTCAGAGCCCCATCCAACCTGGCCTTGGGCACTTCCAGAGATGGAACAGCCACAGCTTCTCTGGGCACCCTGTGCCAGGGCCTCCCCACCCTCACAGGGGAGAATTTCTTCCATATATCTAACCTAGATTTCCCCTCTTGCAGTTTGAAGCAATTCCTCCTTGCACTGTCACTCCAGACCTTTGGAAACTGTCTCTCTCCATATTTCTTTAGGCCCCTTCAGCTTCTGGAAAGGCCACAGTTATGTCACCCCAAAGTCTTCTCTTCCCTGGGCTGAACAATCCCAATTCTCTCAGCCTTTCCTCACGTTAGAGCTGCTCCTGTTTCCATGGCAGGGGAGGGGGTTTGACCTGACAACCCTTCCCCCTCTGCTCTTCCCTGTTCAGTGTCAAAATCTGAGTTTTCTGTAGGGTTAAAGCTCACTGTCGACCTTCCAGACAGACACCAGCACCCCAGCATCACGTGAAATTCTTCCCATCAAAGGTTTCCAGTTAGGTACTATCCAGGTATTTACAAACAGCTGAAGGAACCCACATCCCACATGCAGAGAGCTCGAGTCCATAGGGTTGGCTCTCTTTTGTGTCTGCCAAGGATTTCAGGAGATCAAACGTGTTTGAGATGGGTTTTGTGAGCACAGGGATTGTTCAGAGGGAGTCTCCCAAGGGATTTGGGGAGGCTCCTGTCTGCCTGGGGAGGGTGCTGSGCTGCTGGGGTTGCTAATCCCTTGTCACACATTGTCACACACCTTATCTGTCTCTCTGCTCCCTGCCTTGTGTGAGTGATAACCTTTGAGCAGGGGGGAGTGACCGACAGATGGGCAGCCCCTGTGTAATGTTGGGTTTGTCTTCTCTGTCCAGCGCCAGCACGGGAGCAATGAAAGAGTTATTGCTCAAATATCTCTGCAAAAAGGTCCCCGTTGGCTCCTTTGCAAGCTGCTCTGTGGAGGTGGTGAAGAATTTCCCTGCTCTGCCCCCCATCTGATGTGAGGACACCTTCTGTCTCTAGGATCTCTGCCTGCATTTCAGCACATTCARAGCAGCAGCTGCATTATTTTACTTTTACCAGGAACGGCATCAGCACAGGGAGAAAATTAAAAAACCCACAGTGATCGGTTCAGAATTTGATTTATCTGAATCAGAATTTATTCCCSTAATGTCCTGGGGTTTGGCATGCTTTGTTTGAATGGGTGTTGTCCTGGATTCTCCAATATTAATCACCCATGTGCTTGTGCACAGTTTGCRCACAGTTTTGCAGTATTATCACGGTTTTTACAGTATTATTTGTATTTTTCTAGGTCAGGTTTTCCCCAGTCTGGGCAGGGGTGCAGCTTTGTGGCTGYTCATTCACAGGGTCACTGTCACTTGGCACGTGTCTGCAGGGAAGGAACTGGGCACATTTCTCCAGAGAAAAGCAAAACACAAACTCCTGTGCATCCCTAAACCAGCCCTGAAAATTGAAATCAAATGTGAAATTTGCAGCTCCTAGAAAGAATTCGATTTGATTGTAGTGCAGCCAAGTTTGGGAGGGGTTGTTTGTGTTCTTCAGCATCCTGTATCTTTGTAAAAGATAATTACTGATGTTGAGTTGTGGAAGGGACAGAGCCTTTCTTCAATGTGAYAATCATAAAATGATTGGTTTAAACAGAACCATACTTTGGCCCTCAGTTTTTTTTTTAATACACCCTCTCAGTTCCTGCCTCATGAATSTGTAAAACATTAAAATATTCATGAATGAAAGCCCACCAGGAGGCTTCCTTTGGGCACAACCATGACAAGAAGCTGAAGTGTTTGCCCAAGTCCTTCTACCTTTCCAACAAGCTTCCAGAAGTGAATTCCTCAGTTGTGGTTCATCAAACAGCTTCAACACCCCCAGACTACATTTGCAGCTTCCCAGGCTGGGGGGGATGCTTGGCTGCCTTTTTTTTTTTCTTTTTTTTCCTAGGTATTATGCTCTAAAATGACCAGAAATCCTGATCCATGGCAGGTTCTGCACTGATGATTCCTGATCAGGATGATCCTAGAGGATCCCCTAATTTAATTAGAACGTGCCCACTCCGTGTTGGTAATGGACTGGCTGCSTCCCCCTAGAAACAGTTTTTTCTTTAAAACTTGGGGCAAGGGAGAGAGGTGACATTTGACACTTTTGGATGTGCTCCTTTCGGGAAATTTTCAGCTGCCCTGATGTGCCAAAGGTGGCATGCATCAAGCAACAAATGGGACCAGGATGAGATCCACACACACGAGTGTATTTGGGTTTTTATGATTTAATAGGGAGGGGTTATGTGTGTTTCCCTAAAGTGTGCACATTTTGTGATGCAGGATATTGAAATATGCATTTCTAAGCCTAAGGTCTTTTATTGGTGCAACCATAACACCATAAAAAATCCTGTATGTCACAAAAGTGACCACACATTCATTTGGGAAAATAACGTACAAATGCCAGCCCAGTTCCTCAAAATCTCTGGAGTTTTGCCATTTTGCCATTTAATTTGATTATGATGCTTAAAATTTTAAAGAGCTTTCAGGTGTYGATCCAGCTACAGTAGTGGGTAAAGAAACTTAATCAGCTGTGCAAAATAGTCCTTTTGTGTATTATGAAAAAAAAATAGGAACAGAAATATTCTGTCTCCTTCCTGGCCTTAATTGGGATCCTGCCCATGGAACCATATGTACTACTAAGTATCTTAGAAAAATCGGTACCTGCAGAGTAACTGAATTTGTAATTACTTGTAACTGCACATATAAATCAGTCCCCTTGTCTTTTYTGTGTGCCAGGCCCTTGCTGAAAGCAAGGGGTCTCAAAAACCAAAGAGGGGCACGAACTGAGCTACGCAGAAACGTGACGAAATATAATGTGATGAATGTTCAGAAATTAAGGAAAGTGTCCACACTTTGTAGCTCATAGTGTGAGGCTGCAGGAGGAGGGAGACACACAGCCCTCRAGATAAAAATGGCATAGAAATCAATCACCAGTTTCTTTAATCACGAATTATTGAGATCATCCAGTCCCAGCTGTGCCCGATGCCCAGCTTGTCCCCAGCCCAGAGCACTCAGTGCCACCTCCAGCCCTTCCTGGGACACCTCCAGGGATGGGGACTCCAAAGCTCCCTGGGCAGCCCCTGCCAAGGCTTGAGCACCCTTTCCTAAAGGGTGATTAAATTTTTCCTAATATCCAATCTAAACCTGCCTGGGGCACCTTGGGGCCATTCCCTCTCCTCCTGTCCCTGTTCCCTGGAGCAGAGCCCGACCCCCCCGGCTGCCCCCTCCTGTCAGGGAGTTGTGCAGAGCCACAAGGTCCCCCCGGAGCCTCCTTTGCTCCAGGCTCAGCCCCTTTCCCAGCTCCCTCAGCCGCTCCTGGGGCTCCAGCCCCTTCCCAGCTCCTCTCCCTCAATTCYTTCCCATAATGAGGGACCAGAACTGGGCACAGCCCTCACGGTGTGGCCTCACTCCTGCCCAGCCCGGAGGGACAACCCCTGTTCAGTATTATCTGCGTATTTCTTCACGACTACTAAAAATCTAACTTGAAAAATTCTTGGATCTTAGCAAAAAATTACCTGAACTTATTTTTATTACCACAGTCGCATTTCATATATGCATCAGTTGGTGTTTAGGATTCAGGATGGACTTAACAAAAGATGTGCAAGGAACATTATTTTGGGAGTAGGCTCCTGCCTTGTGCCAGTGGTGACACCAAAGTCCAGAGAAGGTGAACACCCACAGATTCTCCCTGATTTCTTCACGAGCCCTGGATTACACCTCACCTGCATCAGGAAGACAAACCGAAACCAAACCTCATTTGCAAAGGTCACACTGCTTTCAGATTTTAGGAGGGTCTCTAAATGKTGATTTATCATTTTGTTTTAAATTAATGACAGATGTAATCCCACATACATCACACACTCTGAACTTGCATGAATTTATATATGGATAAATAAATACCTGTGTCCCAGCCTTATTGTTTTGTTTTGTTTTTTTTTTGGGGGGGGGGGGTTTCCCCCCAGAATCCTCATTTTACACTCTGTGTGTAGTTTATTTTCCCCGGTCTTAGCCTTGAGGATATTGCTCTGGTTTTTACAAAGAGCGTTATTTGGGAGCAGTCCTGAATTGCAGACTACAGGACTTTACAAACTGTTATTTCACAAAAGCAAACCAGTAACCACTTACTTACAGCTGAGCTTCTGATTCCTGTAATGGCTTCTTGAAGAGTGCATTCAGCTTTCTGGGGAATTTGAAACCATCCAAATAGAAATACTCAATATGGGACATAGCTTAGGTAATGGAGAAACACAGGATGGTTTGGGTTGGAATGAGCCTTAAAGATCATCCAATTTCAACACCCCCTGCCACGGGCAGGGACACCTTCCATTGTCCCAGGGTGGATGTTTATCTCCAAGCCCCATCCAACCTGGCCTTGAACATTTCCAGGGATGGGGCAGTCACAGCTCTGTGCCAGGGAAGCATTTTTTCCAGTAGCTAATCTAACCCCACTCT